AACTTATTTTGAAGCGAAAGATAAATTTTTTTATAAACATGGTATTGAAAAATTAGAAAAGCGTTGGAACCATTGTATCACCCTAAAAGGTGATTATGTTGATGAATAAAAAAAAATTTTGCAAAAAAAATGTTTTCATTGTTAGTCTCGGGACTTATTGATCCATGTGTTAGAATATATACACATGAAACGCTAATAGGACACTCAAGCTGAAGATAGGTGCGAGAGAGAAAGGTATAGTAAAACTAAAATTCTCAATGCGCATGCTCAATTTCGTCACGTGGTTCCATTCATTACGTCGTTCCATTCGAAATTATAGTTAGGTAACCGAAATGCGGAATAGCAGAATGGATTGACGGAACTGAGCATGTGCATTACGAATTTTAGTTTCACTATACCTTTCTCTCTCGCATCTATCTTGGTTTCAGCTCAATGTATTGGCGGTATAGGCAATGAGCATTCCATGTGTACTATATATGTTCTAAGGAACGAGCTTCCTTCGAGAACATTATTATTCCTTCTGGAATCGTCCTCGTACACGACATCATCACTTTACAACCTCGCGATAAGATATTGTATTTGCTATATAATAAACATTGTTACTTGTTAAATCGAGTGCCATTCATTACTTACATTCATTATATGTAGCAATCAGCTACAAAACATATATTTATCTCACTTTAAGTTCCAAAAGCGTACACTAGCTCAGCCACAGAAAATAGAATATCTATCTATGAATATCAAGCGACAAACTGATATAAATTACAAATTAAGTTATATCCACACAAATTTGCATAGCCGCATAATCGTATGCATAAAGAAAATTATCCAATCACATTTTACAGCTTTATAAGAGAAATGCGATTGGATAATTTTCTTTATGCATACGTTTATGCGACTATGCAAATTTATGTGAATATACTCTTACGCCGGCGCAAAAGAGAAGTTCTTCGATATCAGAAGAACTTGTTATTCGCCCATCATTACATATGTATCAAGTCTATGGTTATTGCGTATATGCTTGATCTTTGATATTATTGTTTGATAATATATTGCGCATTAAGTATTGTAAATGTTGCTAAATGTCTTAATTGTTATTGGTTTGTGTTACATCGACAATTTCTATTTTATTAGAAATTTTAATAAATATTTTACTCGCTCACATTCAATATCTCTTTGTCCGAAAAACAAAGTTTGGAAAGTTCAAATCGGAACTGTGTGGAAAAAATAATCTGTTATTTAAAAAAATATTTTTTTTTTGTATCTAGTGCCTTCAATCCCGCAAAGGAATTGTGTTTATTTTAATTTAAAAGTAATATTTTTCAAGGTTAGAATATCTGTCATACTCGTAACATTTATGTGGTTTACACACAGTGCCAAATAAAATAATTTTAGCTCTTCAAATTTCATTTTCTTTTTTCGTAAAAGGAGAAACCGAACGATTTATTTTTGCGTTTGCATCCTCTTCTAAAATGAACAAACATTTATCCAATAAAATTTATTGATCGCATTATTCTTTTCTCTTGCTAACTTTAAATTTTTCATTTTTTTTGTATATATAAATAAAACATTAAAGTCAATAAGTCTTGTATAACATTTTATTCTTGTATAACATTTTATTCTTGTATAACATTTTAATGATGCATTATATTGCCATTTTAGTTAAACATGAATGGTGAAGTGTTTTCTTTGGAAAAGCGAATTGGTCTGTTAGATAATACAGTATAAAAAACTATTAGTCAATAATAGAGTGAATAAATAAGTATCAATAATGAGTCACTCGCAAGACATTAATATGCCAGAAATAATGGAACTGGTGAGACTTCTTCGCCAGAATGGTGACAAGATCTTGAGTGCCTCCAGCAAGCTTTCCTTGTCGACGAAACTGCTACACAATCTCAATGAAGCATTTTCACTGATTATATCAGAATCTGAAGATTTGAATTCTTCATTTCACGTGTGTAACAGCTCCAAGATAGATATATTTCGTGATGTAAAGTTCCTACACGATTTTGTGCAAAAGACTATAGGTTTGAAAGTAATACATTGTTCATCTGACATCAAAGTTACCATTGACATCTCCAAATTTAGACATTTAAAGTATTTAGAACTGAAAGAGGTATCTGTTGAATTATTGAAGGGTCTACAGAGTGTCAGAGGTCAGTTGGAAAGTATTGTGTGTACCGGCAGGAAAGGGATATCCACAATTTATCAATTATTAGGTAATATTTATATATTATATTGTATTATGTATTGTCACAAAGTATAGCTTACAGTCGCCCTATCTGTATTTTTTTCTTTGTAAAAATAATATCTTTAAAAGATAATATTTTATATATATTTTGTGTAATAACTCAATTATATATAGGATATCATAAAATAAAATAACAATATAACTTTTAACAAACAAATATGCAAAAAAAAATTCTATTAAATTCTATAAAATTATTGATGTGACATATATAAAAAGAAATTACAATTTTCTGCCTATATAATTATTACATTGAAATTAGTTATGGTATTGTCTTATATTGCTATATCTACAGCTGAATGCGGAGGTGATGCTGGAATCGGTTTTGTATGGGCATCCTTGAGACATTTGGTGTTGCCTCATAACGCTCTCAAATATCTAGATGAATCATTAGAATTGGTACCTTGGCTTCAGATATTGGATTTGAGTCATAATATGATAATGGATGCCAAAGAAATATCCTATTTATCAAACTTGAGATATGTGAATCTAGGTTACAATAAATTAGAACAAATACCTATATTTAATAAGACAGTATTACATTCGTTACAAGTATTGGTTTTGAAAAACAATTATATCGAAAATTTAAGCGGTTGGTTGTTTTCTATGCACTAATAACTCTTTTTATTTAATTTCCAAATTTAAAGTTATTTTCTTGCTATATTTAAATATAACTTTCAAATTTATTAATAAACGCGTGTGATTATATAATTTAAGCAATTATTATCATCTATTGTTATCATTATCAATTTGTGCAATAGGTCTTCAAGGCTTAGAATGTTTGACAGAATTAGACTTGTCTTTTAATTGTTTAATGGAGCATTTGGTTCTCTTGCCACTGCAAAAGATGTCTACCTTGTTGTGGTTATCTTTGGAAGGAAATCCTTTATCATATCATCCAAAACATCGAATTTTGACCATTAAATATTTACATTCGAGTTTGTCAGATAGCAAGGTATCCCTGTGTAATATTGAAAATTGTTAAATGCGAAATAGCATTGCTAATACATTTACATGACACAGATCTGAATAAATTTTTATAGTTTGTTTTAGATCATCTGTCGCTCTCGAATGCGGAAAAAATGCTAGTCGCAGAAAATCGAATCTTTGCAATACCTACGAATCAATCTACATCTCTGACCAGCTCAATATCTGTATATGCTGATACAAATGAATTTGACCAAGACAGATTAAATCATCGAACAATATTGTTATCTGAGAATCTAGAAAAAAGTGTAACAAGGAGTAAAAGAAGACTAAATGTCAAAGAAGCAATTATTGATGAAATCGATCAGGAAAGAAGAGAATTTAAGAAATTGCCTGATGTAGTGGCATCGTCTTCTCATTTAGGTAAGATTTTTTAAATAAATAACATATATACAGTAGAGTGAAAGGCGTATTATGTCTAATAAATTGGTTTAATAAAATGGAACAATACTGTATATAATAACTGGTGATAGAATGATGTATCTTTCTTGCAATATTCTATATTAACTTATTCATTGTTTCAGAGTTATCAAAGGATTATTTGGAAATAAAGAAACGTATCTTAGATCTACGAGAAAAATTTGGCGAAAATAATTGGTTGAGCAGTCACGCAGGAACTTCTGTCCAGCACATTATGGGTCTTCATCCTGCTTCACCAGAATCTCCAGAATCGCAAATATCTAAAATAAGGACTTTGGCTAATATTAATACATCATCGTCTCTTCACGATACTCTGATTTACGCAATGGATAACGAAAAATCTAATGAATCGCAAGAAATTGCAGAATACATAGAAGATGATAAAGAACTTCCTCAAAATAAGACCTTGGATGATCTTCCGAAGATATGCACTGCTTCTATGATTGTATACGATCCTAATGAAGGTAAAATTTACGCATAATGCATTAAATAATATATTAACATCGCGCACAAGTTGATATTTTTTTTATTATAGAGGCTGGAGACTTATATATCGTTCAGAAAAGGAACAATGAGAATGAGATGGAAAATGTCTTTCTGGTAATAACTTCTGAGTAAGTTATTATTTCACTGCAAACAATTATAACATAATTAGAATTGCATTAGATTCAAACTTTTTTAATTATTTATAAGAAAAAGCAAAAATGGCAGATTGTCGAAAGTAATTTTCAATTAAATATGTACATTTTTTTAATATGTTATTATTAAGATAAAACTTTTGTGGTAATATTTGCAGAGATATTAAAGAAAGAGATGCAATTACTGGAAAAATAAAATTTTGTTGGTCAACAAATTCCTTATTGTCTTGCGTCTTAGGTAGAAGTGATCCACCCACAGTTGACATTATTTTTGACACTACTAGGAAAGATAAGGAGAGTAGGCGATATTTTGCACAACTAGATGATGCAAAGGTACTAAGAAACATTTAAATACGATTTTGGAGTTTACAATATAATACTTTACAATATAATACTTTTTTAGAAAATTGTAACAACAATTAGCGAGCAAATTGAGATGCGGCCAATACTACTCAAGATTTTCAAGTGCATGAAATGTTCGACACAATTCTCACAAGATCCGGAATTATATGTGGCATTTGCTATTAAATCGATGACAGGTTTGTTTTACGGTTTATGATGAGGTACTATATTTTTGGAGAGGATTGAGTGAAAATGATGGTTTTTTAGGTACAAAAATCAAATGTCCTACCTGCGACAGCAGCTTGGTCATTGAAGTAGAGACACTTTCTAATGTAGATAACCAAGTTGTAAAGAGTCAGCTAATAGACAATCCAACAAGACTCAACCTGGCACATTCCGAGTCATTCTCCAGTATCGGTAAGTTCCTCGATGTGATATCGTCATGTTCTGTCAGCATGTAGGATTCTTTAGATAAAGTGAATTTAAAAAAAAAGTGCACAACCTGTACGAGATTTTTTACATAGTATTGTGATCCTTTTTGCAATGTTATATCAAGATATTTTGCAGTGTTGAATTTTAATGTATTAATTCTCAAGAACTTCAATTTCTATGACACAAGCTTTTAAAAAATTAGAGCTAGATTTTAATTATTATAGGAAAAATAATAGTGAAGAACGTTACAATTCATCTGAAAAGTAAAACTGCAAAAATAGACAATTGAGTGTTCGTTTTTACTTTAAATTACGAATTATTATGTATAGTTTGTGCAAAATAATTACATTAAAATTGGCCTGATATTACTTAATTTTATTTTAAAA